GATAATATAAACTAAGTAAAAGAAATTAACCCAAAAGATTAGGTTTATTGTATTGCAAATTTTCTTCACTAACACAGCAAAGGGACAAACAAATACTGCCATTTACTTTTTAACAATGTTTTTTTGAGCAAAAAAACTAGGGGAAAACTTGCCAGTATGCACTATCAAGCACTCACTGCCTTCCATAGAGGAAAGGATGGAGTTTTCCGCTGCACAGACATTTTAGTTTACATCAGTTTTTACTTTAAAAGCCATCTTGATGCCTTCATCAGGAAGTGCTCTGCAGGCTTATAGTTGCCTTAACAGCTGAAGTCACAACCAGTAGCACGCAGCAACACGCAGCTGAAGGACGTGGTCATTGTAAGATGCAAGTAACCTGCTCATCTTAGAAGCAGAGGAAGAGAAATAAAGGGGGGTTATGAGATGGAGGACATTCCACATCCTTGGATACAACCTCATACTAAGAATTCACCTCACAAGAGCAGAAATCCTGTCATAAGATGCTCATCGATACCCTGGTGAAAGCACTCAGCTTGCTAACATCAGTGTTTACACACTGAGGCTCATCACAGAGAGCAGCAGCAAGTGGCACTGCTTTACCATAACGCACGCTATAGAAATCCAATATTGAACCATCTAGAGCACATCAGAAAGCGTGACTCATGGATGTCCTCCAGTCGCGCTGGCTTTCAAAGTGGGAGGCCTGGGAGGAGCTGCCAGCAACGATACGAGCAGATAGGAAGCAATGATTAGTACACACATATGCACATGCTCAATCTCAGTTTAAATAATTTTCCAGCATCTGTCTTTGGGAAAACAGTGCAATTACACAAATGCTTACAAAAATCAAGTTTTAACTAGCTCAGAAAATCTCTAGTTGGTTGAATCAGTGCAAGTGTCACATTATATCAGAAGTGATGGGGCTCTGGCTCACATTTACAGAGAAGAGAGCGGCACTGCCTCAACCCTGCCGGCACCCAGCCATCTGCTCCAACCTCCTCCCGGAGCTACTGACCCCGCAACCGAGCTGACAGGAGAAAACCTGACTGTGCCTGAACAGCATCTTCACTTACATCCACCTGCAACTGGAAACTTCAAATGAAGCAGCCCGGGTACAGGCATGTTCCCTCCCATGCCTGCTCCATGAAGGAGCTGTGCTGGCAGCCAAGGGTGGCTCCCGGCAGCAAAGCCCATCTACTGCAGCTCCAAATTCTTGAAGTTTCTGCATCTATATGATATTTGCCATTCAATAAGATGTCTGTTTTATACATCCTACTGTCTTAAGTAAACCATTCAGCCTCCATTTTGCTTTATTCTAACAAAAATAAAAAAATCAGTAACCTGAATGACCCCAAGCATGATGGTTTCTTCCCTCTTGCTGCAAGTATGCATACTTACCTGAATAAAAGCAGTAAATACGAAGTGCCTTAATTTCACCTGCTTTTATTGCACCAATAAGGGACTTTACATGAGTGTAAATACAGTGGTTGGATGGGCCTGGCACAGCAGTACTATCTGCCCTTTGGTTACTGATGCTGCCTTTGCTCTAGGGAAATGAATTTGTTTTCCAAGCTGGTCATGCAGATACTTCCACATGAGCACCAATTAGTTTCCTACAAAAACGTGCCTCTGTGTAGCGGCACAAGGCAATGGGAAGTACAACAAAAAGCCAAAATGAAAAAAAAAAAAAACACACCATGCTGATAGAGTCAGGAATTGTAATTCCAAGATAAAATAACATACTCAAGATTTGAAGACAAGTAAATTGTGATGCCTAGTCTTTTAATCTTATGGATTCTGGAACATGTAAATTGTAGGAGTACCTCAAGCACAGCATCTCTGTTGAGTCCCAAAAGTACTTGCAGTATACCATGTTACATTTAATAGACAGACTACACAGATGAAACTGCTTATTTGCATTCTCTTACTTCAGAAGGGGCCAGGGGCAGCAATTATATTTTTGCAGATGGAAAGCTTATTGTGTTGGAAGATTTCTATTTATTTGTTGGGTTTTTTTTTTTGTTTTTTTTTTTTAAAGCATATTCTGGCTTACCTCTTTGAAAATGAGAAAGAGTGAAATGATAAAAGGAAGAAGTTGTGACGTACTTGGAATATTTGAGAGAAATACCAACTGAGAAAAAGGAATAAAAACAAGCAGGAGCTTGGAAAAAAAGTAAGCAGGAAAAAGCACAGAAGCACAAACGTGAAGAAACGTGAAAATTTCAAAGGCATGGGTACATGTCAAAAGCTATACAGGTCAAAATGTATTATGTATGTTTGCTTTCGGAGAGCTACAATTTGTTGATTCAGAGAAATGCATTTCTATCCTGGCAATGAGTCAAAAGCATGAGACAGCTCAGGATGAATGGGTGTCAGAGTAAAACAAGAGGTATGAGAAAACGATGTTAGAGGAACAAATGAAACCAAAAGGATAAGGGATCAAGTGTTTGTGTCAGCACAACACTTTTTCAGAACTAAGCTGTCATATTTATCTCCTTCCTCCTCCCCCTGTTCTATCTGCAAATGGGGAATGACTTTGGAAGTTAGTATGCATTTTCCAGTTTCTACAATTTAAGTGAGCAAAATCATTTCTCCCAATAGTAGCAAGAAGATCAATCTCAAGAACATACACCGTATCTTTCTCTTCAATGACAGCTTCACCTAACAGTTCAGATAAACAAGGCATACATCTGTTTAGAAATCACTTGGGTCCATATGTACACAAAGGAGTGAAACATTTCCATCCCATTCTGTAGCAGCTTCCTAATCCAATCAATCAGTCAAGTAACAGAAGTGACATTTAACTCAAGATGTTCTCAACCTATCATTAAACAGCAACTTCAGACCTCTAACAAATGATACAGTTATAAACTGCTTCAGAATAACACTAACAATAACTGCCTAAACAAGAAGCTCCCTTTTTCTTCTATGAGGTTATCAACCTGTCTTAGTTCAAAAACCACAAGCATGCTGAACACTTCTCAGTCTTAAGGCTGGAGTGGTGGTAGATGTGGTTGCTTTTGATTTAGTCTTCAGAAGACAGGAAATTATAATTTCAGTCTAAGTACCAATTAATTTTTGTCATAATAAAGTAGGCTTGGTCTTTAAGTATCATTGCCATACTCTCTTCATTTTACTCTTTTCCTTAAAATGAGAATGCAAGTAATGCAGGAGTGACCGAAGAGTAGTATACATGCACAGAATTTTACGTAATTATAAGAAGCCGAAGATTTGTCTTTGCTTCAAGACTTCTAGCGATTTTATACCAAAATGCCATAATCTAAACACAGTGGTGGTGTTTGACTCTGGCAGAGTGCATAACCAGCAGCAGTAATTAAATCAGCTACCAGCTGTTCCTGCATTAACAGTTCTGAGTCATGCAACTGCAGAGAACCTTTATCTCTAAAAGATTCAACTCTTAAAATACATCAAAAAAACACTGTAAGTTGTTGCTTAACAAATAAGTTTTACAACAATGACTATAAAGCATTACAGTTCCGATCCCACATTTACATTCTGGTATTTGCCAAAGTCCAGAACTTCCCCTCAGAGGGCTCACTGATGATGATGAGACTGCGTACAGAGGCAGGTGTCAGCCCTGTTTCCAAAATGAGGCCCAACCACACCAAACAGGAGAGAGCAGTACCCACTCCTGATGCAGTACCATCAGCAGGTACATTTGATACCTCATTAAAAACAGAAAAGTAAGCACACTTGCAATAAGCAGACACAACATCAACCATGTTATTCCAACTACTCAGAGGATACTCAAGAAGTTCCACAATGTCTACAGAAGATTTACAATGAACGAATCCCTCTAAAGTCATCCGGAGCCCACAGAAGACAATTCATCTGTGAAGCTCATGTATATATATTTAGCCCCTGGTCACATGCTGAGCATTTTTATCTTCTCAAACATTGCTAGTTCATTTAGAGGATGTCTGTTTAACCAGCACAATTTAGAGTTCACTAGCATCACTATCTTCTTTAAAAGACACCACATAATAATCTAGGCTGTTCAAGCCTACCTCTATTTTCTCAGCCACAAACCACAAAACAAGCTACAGTTGTTTTAAGTTGCAGTAGGAGTAACGCTTCAAAAGGAATTCAGTAATTCTTGTAGTAAAGTATTTTAGCAGGTGGAGCACCTTTGCATTCTGAGCTTCAGAATAAAAAAAGATGAATGGCATTTCTTATATCAAGTACCTAATTCTTTATCATCGTGCATCCTTAATTATGCCATCCCAACATAAGTACAAAAAAAATAATCAGCATTTTGGATTTGCTATAGCTGCATATCCACTTGACAGTGACAGGAAGGATTCCTAAAGATTCACAGAAAAAGGCCTTAAGAGGACACTGGAAGTATGCTTACAAAATAAATCTAAAAATCTAAAGCAAGTGTAAGTTTCAGTAAGATCAAACTCATAGCCCGCTGTTACCATCATACACTGAAAGTAACACTGTTACTGGCAGACAGCTATGTAGGTATAGAATTGTACAGCTCGGCCTCTTTCCTACTAACCTGGAAATCTTGTCCCCACGTTGTTAAATGATTTCAAGAGGGAAAAATAAAAACTGGCTCATTTACGAACTAACGAAAAGATACTGCTTCTCTTGTGCTTGCCTCTGTGACAATGGGCCGGTATTTTTACATCTGTCAGCTTTGATTCTCAGAAGAACAAGTGAGGGACAAGCACTATCTCTTGTCTCAAAGTCCCAAACCTGTTGTACACTCCTCCTGCAACAGGAGCTGGAAATCTGCAGCACAAAAGCCCTACCACGCTCAGCCTCAAACCTCAGTTTTGCACAGAGCTGAACAACAGCGCATAACACTCAACATCTTACCGGATGATATTTTCAGTTACATAAATCAACGTTAGCCAATGTCAGCCGGCACCCTCTATGACATCTGGATAAACACCCTCTTACTGCTTTCAGACAGCAGATAAATAATAACAGGCAAAGTGTGAAGATATGAAGACTTTAATGTCACTTACTCAAATGCAAAGAACAGCCCGCTGGTGACCAGGATGAGCACAAGAGTCAGGTAGAAGACTCCGGTCTGCCGAGCCATCATGATCCTCCCATTGCAGAAGAATTTGTTCCTTCCAGGAAAAACCTCCCATTTTCTCTTGGGAGCTGTCTTCTTTTTCTTATGGGGAGACTCCATGGGAGATGAAGAGCTGTGTGTGCTGATCTGGCTGTATTCGCAGTCTTTCATGGGCCCACTGCCACCTCCAGGTGTCATCAAGAGAGAGTACTGTGTGGGGAGAACCCCACCAAGAAGTACACGCGATACAAATCTGTGCAAAGCTCCTGCTGACCGAGGCAGCACTCTCCTCCAGTCCCACTTAAAAAAAAAGAGTTCTGCTACCACAGCAGCAATAGGGGCACTATGCACACACGGGTTAATTCTTCAGTTACCAAAGATGTCATATCACAAACGCTTCCAAGGGGTCCTTCCTTCCTCCACCAGTTACAAAACCATCATGTAGGGGAATCCTTTGTAAAGCAAATTTTGACAAAACGAGACCAAAAAGAAAAAAAATCAGTCTTTTTCTTCTCCGAGTTTATTTTCGAAGGGGAGGGTGCGTCTTCCTTCCCACGCACACCCCGAGAGCTCTCCGCGGGTCAGGAGGTTGGCCAAGGCAAGGTTTAGCAATCGAGTCTATCATTCATAGCGATTTGGTATAATCCTCCTTCGCGCAGCAGATTTCACTGCTAAAAATGACCATTGCTAAAACGCTCCCCCAAGAGACACGCGTAACAAATCATTAAAGAAAGAAAAAGCAAGCAGCGCGCGGCGCGGCTCCAGCTGCAGCTCCCTCCCGGCTCTCCCCTCCGGCCGGGGAGGAGCGGCGGCCGCTGGCTCAGGGCCGGGGCCGGGCGGACGGCCGGCGGGTAGCCGGGCGGCAGCGCCTCATCCCCCCCTCTCCGCCGCGGCGCCGAGCGGAACCGCGTCCCCGCCCCGCGCCCCGGGCGGCGCCGGCCGCCGCAGCCCCCGCCTCCCCCGGCACAACAGGTCCCCGCCGCCGCCTCGGTCCCGCGCACGCGGGGAGGCGGCGGGGCTGAACGGCAGAGGGGCGAAGGGCGAGAGCTGTGCCGGGACCCGGCCGGCCCCTTACCATCCTCCCGGCCCCCGGCCCTCGCTCTGCCCAGAGCCCCTCCGCACGCCGGGACCTCGCTTCACCCCCGCCTCCGTTAAAAGATATCGGTGGAGCCTTTACCCAGGCTTATCCCCCGCAGCCAGACCCGGAGGCAGCAGCGGCCGCCTCCTCATCTCCAGCGGGAAGCAGCGAGCAGGGACCGCACGGCGCGCACCCCGCCGCCCTCAGGCCTCCCCTCCCCGGCCGGGGGGCAGGCGGCTCCCGCTCCGAGCGCTCGCAGGGACGCCGAGCGCCCGCGCTGCGGGCCCGTTGCCAGCGGCCCGTTCAGCCCTCGCCTCCCCCTGCCCACGCGAGCGCCACGGGCTCGCGCCGCCGAGCCCCAAGCGATGCTTCCCGTCCGCCCCGGGCTCGTCCTACCGGCCCGAGCTCCCGGGCCGAAGGCAAACGACTTCTGCGGGGGAGCGATAGGCAGCGAGAAGCCCTGCCCACGCGGACCCGACCCAACGGGACCTCCCTCCTTCGCCGGGCGGGCTCAGGGCGCGCCCCTCCTGCCGCTGGGAGTTGTAGTTTTGCCGCCCCCCTCCGCGGAGCTGCTCCGTGCAAGTTAAGGGCGGGGAAGGGACTACAAATCCCAGCATGCCGTGCGAGCACTCCCCGAGGCAGGGGGCAGGGCGGCCCACCGGACCGCGGGAGTGTTGGCAGAGCCGCGGAGCGGTCGGCGATCTGCGGTGAGAGCGCGGGGGCTGTCCTCGGATCCTCCCGCTGTGCGCGGCGCAAGCAAATTTAACAGCCGTATCGTTTACAGAGTTCTGCAACTCGCAAAAGGAGAATGGACCAGCTTGGGAGATGTGGTGGGAATCAGCCCTGCCGCTCCCGTGCTGGTCGGATTTCTAGATGAATGACAACACATTGCAGTCAGCTTGCGTCTTTTGTGGTTGGATGCTGTCCTGGCGGAAGGCACCAGAGAAATAGGTACGTGAGGATGCAGCTGAATTCTAATATGTAGGTGGTATGTTTTCTGTCTTCTTAACTTCATTTCTAGTTTTACAGTGACATATTCATCCCTTCTGTGTACTACAACAAACTAATTATTTCTCCATAAACGCTGACTGATACCAAAGGAACTCTGGAATAGACTGACCACTAATGGATATTTCCTCTTCCTTGGAGGAGATAATTACTTTGATATCTCAATAGTGGCCTGGTACCCTCATGCTGAGTGGTTATTTGTTGATATAAAAGAATTATTTTAGAAATCAGTGAATCATGAAGGTTGGAAAGACCTCTAGGATCATCAAGTCCAACCCATTCCCACCTTGCCCACTAACCATGTCCGTCCCTCAGTGCCACATCCACACAGCTCTTGAACATCTCCATGGATGGTAAGTCCACCACGTCCCTGGGCAGCCCGTGTCAATGCCTCATCACTTTTTCTGAGAATAAATATTTCCTAATATCCAACCTGAACCTCCCCAGCATGAATAAAAGCCATTACTTCTTGTCCTATTGCTGTTACCTGGGAAATGCTAATGCCACACAGGGAAAGCATGGAGGGGTCTCACCCTCTGCAGGAGTCAGCAGGCAGCAAAATGTAAAACCAGTTGCTGATACCATCTCCTGTGCAAATGCAATGACATCTTTTTATTTTTCCCTCACATGTAATGGTGCTGCTGCATTATTCTTCCCATATCGCCCTTCTCCTCCCCCCCCCCCCCGCGCGCGGGGTGTGCGGGGGTTTTTTTTGTGAAACGCTCTTTCGTTCTATCTTCATGAATACAGACAGCATCAATACATGGCAGCAGAAGGCTGCTGACAAATGTTGTGGTTCACCAACATGCGTTTTTAATCTTTATCAGGTTTTTATTAGCACACTGCCTGCACTCTGACAATATTAATGATTGTAAGATGTGTAAAGGTTCTCTCCTGAGATTATGAAATATTTTAGACATTCAGAAAACAGAACAGTTTATGGGAAAATGTCATTATCAGCTTATCTTCACTGGTAGAACACAGGCTAATTTCAGAAAAACTCTTCAGAAACAAAGCATTTGTTAAACAATGCCAGCACCTCATTGAAGCTGCTGTTTTACTCCACGGTACCCTGGTTCTTTTTTTCCGAGACATTGTGGTTGTAAAGTGATCGTCAGTCACGTTAGCAGAAAGAAATAAAATAAAAAAATCATAGTGCCCGAACAAATAATACTAAAAAACTCAGAGTGAAAGTCAAACTTTCACTTTCAATAGCCAACGTACTTTGACTCTATCGGGATCACCCAGCACTGCACATGGTACTTTTCACACAGCTCTAGTGCCTAATCACTATCAGTCCTGCACTGGAATTCAAGATATTATTGGTGTTGTTTTGCAAATGTTATCAGCACCTTCTTAAAGCTGCCTTTAGAACCTTTTGAAAATGCCATACAAAAATACCTTATGCATTTAATATTTCACACTATTTGACTCTTGTCAATAGTATTGAAAGCACTTATTAGAATTCACACACAATATTAATGGAAATTGCTTTGGAACACCAAATAGATTACACCATAAACACAATACCTAAGATGAATCAATCGTCTCTTCATAAAACTTTGTATCATCATGTGTCCTGGTGTGTACTTCTCTGATTTCTTACCTGTGACTCAGATTGATCTCATGCAATGGGAGAATATGTTGCAGCAACATTTACATCATATTTACATATGATTTTTTCGAATATTATCTTTTTTGTTAGGAGAGTACTAACAAATGAGCTGTTACCCCTGAGAGTTACTATCTCTGACTCTGTCTGGAGGCATCAAAAGGGCAAGTATTAAAACAACAGGGAAGCTCAATTGCTGAGATAACACGTCACCTCACATATGTAGAACATCTGTTACCATACTTGATTACAGGATCAGCTTCACTATGGTATAAGCATTATCAATTTACTTAAGTGATTAAATAAACATAAACTAGAAAATTGTATCATTTTGAACATATCTGTATTGCATGCACTCTACTTTGCCAAATCAATTGCTTCTAATGAAAAAAAGGAAGAAGTAACAGGTATTGAACTGAAAGATCTAATATTCTCAGAGGTGGAAAGAAATCCACCTTTCCACTCAGAGGTGGAATAAAATGGAGTGCCACAGTCACCATAGTACACCATACATGGCAGTTGCATGGCAGTAGCATTCACATAATAAGAGTTTTCTACAGTATAACATTCTTCCTTATCAAATACTTTTCCACGTTGGTGCTTTTCAAAAGTAATTTCTACCACTGCTTGGCCAATGAGCCATTCTTTAACAGTCTTATTAGTACCAACTTGGAAGTGCTTCATTTCCTTAAAAAAAGGCTTTGGATAAAACTGAAAATATTGCTAAATTTCACAAAAGTTGTCAAATAGCTTTGAAGGGTTTTGCTTTTGCTCATTACTCCTCCAACAAGTTAAACATTTCAGTTTTCTAATTTTATTGTCATTTCATTTATTTTAAACAGCTTAGTTTTGTTTAGTGTTGTTTAAATCATTACATGTCTCTAGAAATGTACATATTTTGCAAAATATAAAATAACTTTTCTGTGGGTTTTGCCAAGAGAGCTGAAATTCTGTATTACTTAAGCACTAGCATCAATGACCTCCTTTGAAATGACAGATTTGTTGTTCAGAGAAAATTGTCCAGCTTCAGACTGTTGACTTTTAAATTGTCAGCACAGTAAGTCCTAAAAGACTAGATAATATTATCCATATGAACTGTAAAAAAGGGAGAAAATAAAGAAAAAGTGGAAGCATATCAGAAGCACTCTCTAAACACAACTTTGGCTTCTTAACATATAAATTCACTGCTTTGGGTAAAAGTCAGAATATTTTGATTTATTCCAGACCATAACTGTACTTGAGAGTGCAATTGAAATCCAGAAGTTTTCAGAATTGTGTATGTTTCCCATGTTCAGTGACTACTTCCAAAGTTTAGGAGATATGGCCACAAAATTTTACAATTTCAATTAAAAAGAAAATGGAAAAAACCCCATACACAAGTATTGTAGGAGATCGTCACTGTGGTATTTTAACCTACTTAACACTCCTGCTTGCTCTAATTTGAGCAAAGGAAAGAATAAAAAATTGTTAATTCTGGAAAGTTCTTGTAGATCACGAGCAAACCAAAAGAAAGGGCCAAAAAAGAACAGTTAATTGAGGAAAAAAAAAATTTCCAATGTTGTCAGTCTTGGAGCACGTAAAACATTCCCTCATGGGAGCCAAGAAACAACTTTCCTCAGTCTTAAAACCTGCTGTAGTATCATACAGTGTCTGAACAGTGCAGTGGATTACAGTTTGTTTGCTGTTTTGCCTGCACCTGAAGAGCTTTGCATTCTTCATCACTTGATGCAGAGCAGCATTGTCTGGTTATTGTCTGGTACTGTACAGAAATTTCTATACAGCAAAGGTCTGTAATATGGCTATATATTACCAGTTCTTGGTTAAAGTGGTTCATACAACTTTATCCTAATCCCAGTTCACCAAACCGTTCCTTTTCACACAGTGAACTTCCTCTTTAAAGCCACTTTTTTTTTCTTCTTTTTTTTTCTTCTTTTTTTTCCCCACAATACATACAGGAAATGAGCTTAGTGTTTCAGAGAAATAAGCATGTGATCACAGGTCATACCCATCTGTGTGGCACATCTGCTTTCTTTTGGCTGCCAGGGCACTCCTCTGACTACACATTCAACTTGTTGTCAGCCAGAACCCCCAGTATCCCTTTCCATGAGGCTGCTCCAGGCAGCCTTGTCCCCCAGTCAGTATATGTATCCAGGACTGCTCCATCCCAGGTGCAGAATCCGGCACTTGCTCTTTTTAAACTTCATCTGGTTGGTGATTGCCCAGTCATCTAGTTTATCAACATCTCCCTGTAAGGACTTTCTATCCTCAAAGAAGTCAACAGCTCCTCCCATTTTAATATTCAGTGCACACCAGTTCATTTTCTGCAATGTTATTATGCTAGAACAATTCAGCAGAGGACATGACAAAGCATCACAAGGGAGGGGCAGGAGGAACGCGTTGGCCAGCAAAAGGAAAGTGAAAGAGGAGAGAGAAAAACAAAGGGACAGGCTGCATGCCTCCAGCCAGCAGTTAGATTTGGATAAGTTGCCACTGAACTTCAGGCTCAACCACATCTGCTCACAGAGGCATCAGCTAAGTGCAAGAGCTGGCAGAAAGTGAGAGGAGACAAACAAGCAGCTTGAAGGCAGAAAAGGAATTGGGAGCAAAACGTTCTCCTGTTGGGTAGTGATGAACTGTTAAATAAGCTCAAGCTTTCTTATTAAGACTTCCTGGGGAGAGCAATATATAGTGACCGAGTTCTTCCCACAGTGTTGGCATTAAGCTTTTTTTTCTTTTTTTTCCCTCTTTCATTGATTTTTCAAGAAACATTTAAGAATTTAATTCTACTTGAAATTGCTACCATCTTTCCTATTTAGCCAAGCAATTTCCAAAGCCTTTCTTTAGAAATGGAAGTCTCACTGACACTTTAAACCATTGTGCAAGTCCTTATAGGAAACAAAACAAACAAAAGAAACCCCAACAATGTATTACACACCTGCAAATGCTCATGTAATTAAAAGGATGCTGTTAGTGGCAATTATTTTAATTAACTTATTAAAATACTAAAAATGCCTTGAGTTAGAGGTCTTTAAATAATATCTCCCGCTTAAAATAATATGGCTTTTATAGATCTTTTTTTTGCTGTCTTACTGTGAGCTGTAGAAGGGATCAGACTCTTAGTAGGTGAAAGAATAACTGCAAACAATGAATCATAGAATAGCCTGGGCTGGAAGAGGCCTTAAAGATCATCAGCTTCCAATTCTCCTGCACATCTAATCTAAATCTCCCCCTTTTCAGCTTAAAATTGCCTCTCCTTGTCCTATCACTATCACAACATGTTAAAAGTCTGTCTCCTTTCTGATTATAAGCTCACTTTAAGTGTTGTCAGGCCACAATGAGGTCTCCCTAGAGCCTTCTCTTTTCCAGGCTGAACAAGCCCAGCTCCTTTAGCCTGAAATATGCTCAAGTTTATCTCATATACAACCTTTTCCCCTCACCTCTGCATATTTCCTGACTGTGGCTTTCTTTTTCTTCTCTGCTGTCATAGCAAACAGCCTCTTGCAGCACTATGGAAAAGCAGGAGCTCATTTTCTGCAGTAGAGCACAAGAAAAGGCTGTCACCCAGCTCAGGCAGGAGCGTGACACTCATTTTGTGAGAAGACTTCATTATAATTACAGTCGTGGGCTGTTACACTGTTTTGGACTACATACTTCAAGCAGCCATTGCTGGCAGAGGAACACATCCACAATGTGTTTATGTGGAGAAACATAAAGTACATAATAGTTTTCCTGTAGGAATTAGGCCATTAGAGACTTCTGAAAATCCTGGTGGGAGGCTATCTGCATCATTGCACACTTAACTAGGCCATCTGAAAACAGAGCTAACTGCTTTTGAAAATCTCTTTAATGCTTCATTGTCACTATTCGACATCATTAACTGGGAAGATTTAACATTATATCATTGCCTCTCTCTTGCTCCCTTTTTTTCTTTCCCATACTCCTTTTCCTGCCTACAGCTTGTTTTTGCGTCCCTCCCACGTCCTCCTCTCCTGCTGCATATACTTTCCTCCAGAAAATAGCAAAGTCTCTGTTTTCATACTCACTTCTTTTCGGGCCATAAAACAGTGAGCAAAACCAGTAAGGAAGAGCAGGTCATGTTACACCTTTGAGCTATTGCTTCCAGGACAATAAGTCCTGACAGACTCAGGTTTGCAGCTCATCAAGGACAGAATTAATGTCTAATTTGGAAGGCCTAGGTTCCTTCCCACTTGCCTGCAAAAAAGATAGGAAACTTATTTCATTTACTTGACAATGTATACTCTAGAATCTGAATATTCAATGAGTCGTGTAAACAAAGGACTAGATATGACTCACAAATCATATGGTTGACAACACTGCGGTAGAGAACAGAAGTGTGTCACTGATGATATACAAGTGTGGTCAGAGACATAAAACAGACATATTTTTCCCTCTGTGTTCATTTGCTTACTGTAGTAATTGTACCCATATTTCTGTGAATACTTAGGTGGATGAGCTTTGCTCTTCTCAAAAGCTTGGCACACATTTATGGCATCAGAGTACAAACAATTACTTGTTCTGGTTGTGGGTGCACCATCTTCAGATGGAAATGTGCTTTTAAATTCATAAAGTTTTTTTCCATACCACAATTAATGTGGTGGCTCACTTTTAAATGTTCTCAGAAGTTGGCATTCTTCAAATATACCCAAGTGGGCTTCATAAGACATATTTATATTTTTTCCAGTAAGAATAAAAATAAATAAATAAATGATAATAATAATAATAGTAATAATAAGGAATGGTAGGAAAGGTAAATCTGTGATTATTTGCATGGTTAATACAAGGTTTTGACCAAGATTCTCAGAGTGACTTGCAAAGGCTTTAGAACATATGCTTTCAACACCAAAATAGAAGAATGAGTTCATAAATCTGAATTTTTGTAGAATTACCATATACTAATCTAATAGCATTCATATAAATGACTTCTGATGAGCAAATCGCAGCCTGTAGCATAATCACATATTAAACCAATAAAGCTGTAACCAGAAAATCCAAGAAATTCATTCAGAATTCTGCAGGAAATTATTCATGCCATAAATAATATGCAAAGATTAGTCATTGGAGCTTTATGAATTTGTCTGTTTTATTTGCAGGACTGTAGGTATAGAATACTAACAGGAATATAACAGGAAAAAATATACATCTTAGCTTCAGCAAAAAAAAAAGAAAAAAAAAAGCTTGGGGTAAAATTTTAAACTCAGGCTTGATAGAAAGGCAATTGAAGTGCTTACCAGTAACCAATCTCTAACTAGATGATATGTAAGGTCCCTTTCAGCCCAAACTATTCTGTGATTCTGTGACCCATAGCAGAATACATGCAGACCTGCTTTCTATCCTGCTCCATGCGCATGAAGTGGGACACTCTGCGTGCCCCTTCAGCCACAGAACCAGCAATACTAGTCAGGAAAACAACAGAAGAGGAATGCTTGTGTGAATATCTGAGCTTGAAGAACTTCAGTTACTAGTAAATAAGATCTGCTCTTAACTTTAATATAATTTTGTGATAATTTGATAGGTATTTACATGAAGAAATTTATAAACTGTGTATGCATAGAAGAAGGAAGCATCCAAATAAATATAGTGAGAAGCCTGAGACCTTCAAGCAAACAGCATCAACCCTAGGTCCCTGCAAGATGATGGATACTCAATAAAATCGATGGCTGAAGCTTCAAATGGATACTCAGAGCTGAGGATGGTGACATATGGAGGGGAAAAATTAAGTACCTGCTGTTCATGACATAAACTGCAGGTGGATTTTTAGGATTACCTTACTCAAAATAGCATCCTGTCAAGGGAAATCATCTGTAAAAACCTGCATTTCTCCACTTTCAAGGTAAGCGCAACCAATTTCTCCACAGAGGAATGCTAACAAGAGGAAAATTGCCAGCAGCACGAAGATTTATGAGATGGGATTTATGAGAACCTACTTTGGCCTCTTTTTATTTTTTTGGTGATTCTCATGCAGGCCAACTGGTGCAGGCTATTTCAGCACACAGATCAAAGCTAGGGCTTCCCTGAGCAGACCAGCTTCATCTTTATCCTTTTTCACATGGAGGAAAGCATATTTCAGTGCAAAAGTCATCTCCTACATTTTTTGTCTGCATACCACAGCCTTATTAGGCACCGTGCAAAACGCTCATCGATTGTCTGCCTCTAACCACAATACCTAACCACAACACGATGCTCAGAATAAGACTAACACACACTGGTAACCTTTGCACAGCACACTCTGTGAACAGTTCCTACCTGCTGTTGTTTTGCTTGCTGTAAGAGCCACTGCATCTGCTGCTCGTGCAACAGCTCAGGAAATTGTAACAGCCCCACCAGGGCTCTTCCAGCCTGCAAGGGCCAGGTTAAGCCATCTCTAGATGTCATCCCTCAACATGTTGCCGAAACTTCTAGATTTGCATGAAGTTGAATTTATCTGTATATTTATTTATTATTTCAAAGACAACAACCAATACTTTATGACTTAAGAGGTTTTGCATCGTGGAGACCAACTTTCCCTGTGGCACCACACTCTGCTCTGCATCTGAGATGAGCAGCAGATAATCAGGAATTCTTGGCTACAGGAAACCACAAGCAAGATGCCTGTCTGTATGAGTTAGCACCTGCCGTTCAGTGCTGGCAATCTGGGCTCCCATGCATATTCAGGAGGCAGCTGGTGCAGTTCAGCTTTGACAAATCTGAGGTGGGGCTGTTTGCAGTCAAGATCTTCAAAGCCATTCTCCAAAGCCTGTATACCCCTATAATCTTCTCCAGCAACAGTGAAAATACTGTCAGCTCTTTTCCCTGTGTGGATTTCCCCATTGCAGGAAGCAAAATATGAGATTCATGTTCCCAAAGGCTGTCTCTATACGGTTCTTATAATTACACTTAGAGAAAAGCTATCACTGTAATTTTCAGCTCTTCACTCATCCAAAGTGGGTAGCTGGCACTCTCTCTCCCTTTGCAGAACCTGGGCTTCTGCAAGGCTAGGGAGCCTATGTTTATTTTAGACTCCGGAGCTTTTTATCTCAAATGAAGTGCCCCTGCCCAGCCAAGCTTCACATGTGCAGTGCTGCAAGGGACCATGCCCTCAGCTTGCTGCCCGTGAAGCCTGCTAAGATACAGAGGACGCTAATTCCTACGTTCTGCAAAAATCCTATGACCTGATGCACCTCTCTCTGTATTAAGGAGGTGGTGAGCCCTTAAGTGTGGATTATTCCTATAAGATTATGGTTTTCAGTGTGTCTGTATCCCTCTCAGCACTGCTGCTCCAAGCAATCCAGAGCACTAGGACAGCAGGCAAGTGGGTATCAGTAAGGGCACGTCCTCACAGGCAGCACTTGGGTTTGTAGGGCCAGAAAGATGCTGCTTTAATTAATGTCTATTCACACCAGCGCTCACAGAACAGAATTTTTCTCTGTGCATAGTCAAAAAAAGCACTGATTTCCTCTGATTTCCTTCCTTCACATCTCAGAAGACAAAAGCAAGACTTTTCTGTTCCTCTTTACACAAAAGGACCATCTCCATCCTCAGCCCTCCCACTTCATTTTCCCACCTCCTTCCAAAGTCAAGAAGAGCACTAGTTTTGCTCCTTTTTACCAATCTACTGCAATTGTACTCCATCTCCTTAAGAACTGATCTCCACTCCTCTCTCTGAGCACGTGGCTGGTTCAGGAGTGCTCTTTGCACAGGGCAGTGCCAACGGCTCATACACAAACAAAACCCATGCTCTCTCAAGCAGGTGGACTGTATCTCAGTGCTTGGTTGCCTGTCCATATCCCCTCTAGATGGAGGCAGAACATTACCATCTCACTCAAGGACACCAGACCTGGAACTGAGATCAGGGGAGGAAACAGAGAATCCTCCAAGGCCTCACCTGGTACCTACCTAGAACATGTTGCTTGCAGCCCTGGTAGACACTGTTAAAGCAGAGGCTTCTCTTTCAGGTGGGAAGAGATGGTGTGGGTCCTGAAGTCTAGCACATGCCTGGAAGAGATCACAAACTCTCATGCTGAACATTTACCTGAAATGAGCCAGAGATGATTCCATGTGTTTTTGGAGTCTAATTCATATAGCATGTGGATGAAATTAAATTTTTGGGAAGGGCATCAACATGTGACAGCTGAGAACATAGGAATGCTACATCAAGAATGCCAGCTGGCCAAAAACCAAGTATAAAAAGAGCGGCAGTGTGTCACTGATAAAATCTTTGATCATGAAATGCTTTGTTTCTGCTGCGTGGCTGAGAATTGAAATGGGGTTGAACGTGGTCTATCCTATATGAATAGCAGCCAGACAGACATATGGGCAGGGTAGAAGCATGTCCTCTATAGACACTGGGATTTCTCTCTTATCTACTGAGAGGGCATAGTTACTGCAAACCTTGAAGACAGAAATACAGCTGGCAAGGAGATAACTCTCTTGTGCTAGGTCCAGACTTGAACCAAGTTTTTATTGCAATCACACTTTTTTTTTTTTTTCTTTTTTTTTTTTTTTTTTTTTTTTTTAAGGAAGCTTTTAGAGTTCATAAGTTTTCAAGAGGGAAAGGAATTAATCGGAGAGAAAATCCAGATCGTGCAGAATTTAGCTTGGAAAAGAAAAAGAGAAATTTTAATTTCTACAGATCATTAAAAAAAATAATGCTTTTTAAAAAATGCTATTTTCAATATTAATTAGAGAGAGATTATTTTTTTAGCAGGTTAGCCTTTTATGTTTTGAATTTTATGTTTTAATTAAAAGGTTACTAAAATATATAATTTGTAATTAAAAATCAAAGCTCTTCCCATCCTTAGGAAATGCGTTTGATTGCACTGTAAAATTCTCTGTAAACTAAACTCAAATTCATTTTGTGAGAGAAAAGTATTATACTGCTGTTTTACCATGTGGGAAAGCAGAGTGCATTGTATTGATAACGAACTTCTTCAAATTTTATAAAGCTATGCTAAGTACAGGAGCTCTGAGAAATCCTTTTTTTGTGGCTGCTGCTCTTTGCTGTCTTGGAAGGCCTGCTGCACTTGGTGATGGAGGTGGAGTACCATCTGGAACAAAGGCAAATGAGGTTATAGTGTGCATCACAGGTGGTCATCATCTGCATGGCCAGGTGCTGCTTTAATACCCCCCAGTTGAGGGGATATATATCAAGTGCCCCATTTAAGGCATTTGATCATTTTTGTCACATCTCTGTCACACAGAGCAATGAATGCCACAGCCCTGATATTATAAACTCCAAAATGAATCTTCTTTTTTTGCAGTATTCCTTTCTGTCAGTTCAAGGGGTCCCCTTTCTTCACCTGAAGAGGTTTATATATTTGTTTTCTCCTTTTTACTCAGCTGAAATCATTTTAAATGTCAGCTGTGAATCAGAAACCCTTGGCAGGTTGGTAACATCTGTGTCTCTGTTTTGCCAAATAGATCCAGCTGACCTTCCAGGGGTTCAGATACCCTCTGGCAGAGCAAAATGCCCCTGTCTGCCCAGATGACACCAGATATCATAAAATCTGCCTGATATGCATACATCCAGTATGTGTGCATGTGCACGCAGCACATTTCCACCACATATTTGCAGCCTGTTGGAAGATTGGGGCCATAGCTTAAACCAGATAGTAAAGAGCTGTGAAAAAATTAATTGTACTTTCAGCTCTGTGAACACAGCAAAGCACTTCTAAAATTAAATATCCCTGTTTCTTCCTCCACTCCCTCATTTTATCTACTTTGTAGCTCTTATTAGTGTTAACTTTGTGACCAAAGCAGAGTGGCTTAGAAAAGAAAAGCTGCAGCAGGACAAATATATATTCTGGAGAGTAAAAAAGCACTGCCCGATGAACGCAGAAGGAGAAGAGAAGCCAAAGGTTAGTTTTAAGCTTTATTTCTGGTCTAAAACCAAAGACCTCTTTATAGTCTAATAGAATTATAGACTTGAGTCTACCGTTAATAGCATGCATGGCGCCACTGTAATAAAAAAAAATGGAAATTCATTGTCTAAGAATGATTTATGAAGTTCAGTAATTCATGTCAGAGTTTCCACGACATTGTGGTTCTCAAAAAATCCCAGGTCCAACTAACAGCGCTCAGTTAGACATTGATCCTTTAATGAATACGTGCATTCCACTTTGGCAATGTTACAAGTGTGGAAGTGAGAGAGGAAGAGAATATGTGCAGCGAAATACTGAGAAACATCCCTGGTATGCTTTGTACTTAGAATCTTTAAGTTATTCATTTCATCTTTCCACCCCTGGGGACAAATATGTTCCACAGAACATGTAACTTCTCCTGAAGAAAATACACATTTTAAAAATTGAGTTCTTAAAAAAATGGAATAAGAAGATGTGAGCAAGCAAAGATCAGATTTGAGGATTGTTTTTGCAGTAGTTTATTTCAGATGTTCATGCACAAATAAAAATACTACGTAGGAAATAGTAAGTTGCCCATTTTCTACCACACATTGCCCATGGTGTCTCTGTAGTTCACACAAAGTGGGTTTACTCTTTTTTTTTTATTTTTTTTTTTTTATTATTTTTTTTATTTTTTTTTTCCACCAGGCACATTTAGGTATAATGGTTCAGCTCTTCTTTGGTCATCAATAGGGAGCCTTGTTACTATGGTGACAGACAGATGGATTAATGTGATGTTTAGAGAGAGATGGCAGTGCCAAATTTTGATATATACAGTAAGCACTAATGTAGTGCCTACACACGAAGGCATGCATGCAGAAAATCTCAGGGTTAGTTCTTCCATAGGCACAGAGAGAGTTTTGGCACAAAATTCCCATTATCTCTTGACAGAAAGTGGCCATCTGTCTCCCGCTTACAACCTTCAAAAATTGCCTGTTGCAGTCAAGGGCTGTTGCTTTAGAAACTCTAAGCGAATGTCTAACAGGGCCCGGTAGAAAGGACTGCTGCTGTCAACATGTATATAATAAGCCATGAAGCTACTGGTCATCTGAGAGTCATCGACTGTAATTCACTGCCTGAAGTGCAGTTTGCATTACTCACTGCACCCCTCACTGATTAGAAAGGAATGTGAGGTATACAAAATCAACTGGATCTTTACATAGCACAGACAGACTGCATGTAATTATTCCTAACAAATTTCACAGTTCCTTCTCTCTCAAACCTTAATGACTGGCACCTTCATCACCCATCTCACTCACCCCCTTACATAGAGCTCTTAATGAGCTTTCCTGTTTGTAGAGTATTAGCTTAATGGTTTGTGTCTTGCAAAAATCCTCAGAGAAGAAAATAATATAGGAGTAAAACACAATAGCTGATGAATTACCCAGCAAAAAGAACTAAGATATTATGTCAGGTGCATAGTTTATTTTATTCTCCCATGTACCGTGTTTGAACTATTCATTTATTGCAGAGCTTCTTCACTGCAAAAAACTGCAGTAAGCAGCTATGTTCATTGAACAGTTGGATATTTTTAAAAGACAGATTGACCTGCAGACTGAAATTCTGGCACAAACTTGTTGCCCTTAGAAATATCCTAAATGTGAAATCAGAAGTACTTTATCCAGATCATACAATTCATTTATGTTACAAGAGTAATTTAATTAGAAATGTTTATCATCCATCTGCACAAAGTGATAATTATCATTCATCGTGATGATAATATTCAGCTCTCCTTCCAGGTCTTTTTTAATTGTAACATTAACCATAGCAATTAAGCCCTGTAAATGACCGCAAGAAGGGCCTTTGGATACAATTGTCTCTGGAGCTGATGAAGATAAGTATACACTTCATATTCATGCCAATTAATTCCGTGGCTGGATTTCTCAAGTAGGTGACGTATTATATTTGAACCGATTTTATATTGGCCAACTCCCAACGATAAATAAAATACTAGTCCCATTTCTTTTCCCAGTGTTTTGCAACATATGCCATTGCTAAAGCTCCCCAGACCAGTGTAGTTGGCCTCATGAGGACACCAAGTGGCAAGGGCTGGGCACCGCAGCTCTCCTGGTCCATTCGGGCATCTGACAGAGCAGCTTCTAAAAATGATGCTGAAGATGCTAGTAATATTTCTCTCCGCCTCTGAGAGCCATCATAACTTGGTGAGTTCGATCTGAGTCAGTCAAAAGCAAACCATGTTTGACATCACGCTTACCCACACCCTCTGATTAATTCACACTGGATTTGTGGGGGAATCTGCCCACCCATACCACGTCAGTCAGGCTGAGGAAAAATTCAGGAGGTCCTCAGTCCAACCTCCTTTTCAAAACAGAGTTAGCCATGAGTTCAGACCAGGTCTGAACAGCTTTAAACAGACAGCTCTGCAAAAGGCAGAAATGAGATGGCACAGCCTCTGTGTGCAACCTCATCTGAGCCCAGCTGTACTCATGGAGGACAGTTTTGGGGAGATGTTTGAGCTACAGACTATGAAGTATCTCGTGAAGCCCACAGCAGGAGACACATGGGGTAGACAAATCCATGTACTGAGCTGCCACCAAGAGGCCTCCGTCTTGCCAACTGTAAATTTGGAAATTTCCAATTCTGCCCATCTGAGACATGAAGAACAGGTTGGCAATAGGTCATAACCTAACTGGTGGTTCAAGACCACCTCTGCTATCTCAGGTCAAACATCCAGGCAGACCGGCTGACTCTGAAGTCCCAGGCCATAATTTAAAGGCACCCTGGTACAACCATTTCTTTTTTCTTTGCTGTTAAGTTTTTTGAATTTTGTCAGAAATAAATTTTCTCTGGATCATGATAAAGGTGTTTGTAGTACAGCAAAATAACTACTAAAAGGTGATAGAGTACTATTCTACAATGAAATACATACTGAAATCCTTACGGACACAATATCCAGTAAAAAACAAAACAAAACAAATCAACTTCATAAACGTATTTACTAAGACTCTAAAGCAATGGTAATATCACAGGCACTGGGAAGAGATCTAGCATTTGCCTCTCTAGTTAAGGAAGGAATGTGGGCACAGACAAAGAGATGCAAATATATTTCACTTACACAGAGAGAATACTTCAACCCCTGAGAAGGTAATAAAACATGAAATTTAGTAAGAGTTAAGATTATAAAATAAGTAGATACACATATGTGCAGGAAACCCCTCCAACATTCTGAGAAGCATCCCACAGAAACATGCCATCTCCTGCAGCTTCCCCACAAACATCAGTCAGTTCTCCTCAGGAGCTCCCCAAGCATCCCCATCTCTGCAGAGTCACATGAACACAGTCCAGGGCACCGGGCAGCCTTGATTCACAATAACATCTCTGAAACTCGCCTCTGACTAGCCCTAATGTCATCATGTATGAGTGCTAATTTGGGATTTACAACTGGAACTCTGGTCACGCTGCCATTGGAACTTCTGCCATCTACTGAACTGTGGCCAGGCTCTGGCCATACAGAGCTCTGGTGTCAGTGTAACATTCACACACAGCTAGTCTTGTCCTAGGTCAAGCATTACCTACTGAATAAACAAATGGAAAAGTGAAATAAAAAAAAAGTTACTGTTAAAACAGAAAGGTGGGCCAGTGCTGAAGGAGATGACTGGGCATCCAGAGATCCATCCTCCAAGCCTGTGCCTATGCCAAAAAATACTAAAGCAGAACTGCACAAACTGATTGATTTCTTCATTTCCTCTTCTCTAAATGGAAAAATACCCCTCACATAAATCTTTGAAGATAGCTCAATCAATATTTTTAAAATGTCTTCTCTTTTTCAGATGCAAAGCTCTTACTATAATTGTTCTTGTGTCTGATAGATGATCACTGATCTTGTCAGTATTTCTGTGGCTAAATGCTATAAATCATTATTCAGTGACCAGACTTTTTCTAGAAAAGATCTGAGAATTTACTCCCAGTGTGGGAATTTCATACACCTGATTCTTAAGAGAGGCACAACAGTAAGCAGTTTCTTATCATAAAGACAGACAGTACTGTTAGAAACAAAATCATAGGCTCAGAATGCTTCAATTTCTTGTCCAGCAGACCAGAAATTTGTTCTGAAATACTTACACAGCTTCCTCATGCACACAGAGGGTGTAAGGTGCCCCGTACTTTCAAATATCAAAGCCTTCAGAAGTACAGGAAATGATCCAACTCAATCAAAGAGTAAAACCCAGTTCTCCCAAGAGCAGAAGAACAGCTCAAATGCTTTATCTTCTCTCCTTCCAAAACCAGCATTTGGCTCTCCCAAATTCTTTTACATAATCAAATTCTGTTAACTGAATATGTCATTTTAACAAGTATTCAAATCAACCTCCTGCATGTTTTGAATTGGATTTTCTATCTCTAGAACTGATGCTGTGCTTTATCTGCCAACTGTCTCTGCTGTGGCACTGAAGACTGCTCTGGATACATTCTATCAGACACCTCAATAACTCAGTAAACATATTTATTATGCCACAGTGCACTTACAAACTAACCCTTTCTCCACTGAAGACCTGATTTCAATCTTAGTCCTGAAGTGAAACCAGCCTTGACTGTGAATTGCCAGCATTCTCTGCAGTCCTACAGTTAGTTGTCTGCTCATAAGACGACAGGAGCAGGAGAAACACAGATCAGCATTATATTAAGAAGTCTGCACATGGTGATTGTATTTCTTGAGCTGCTTATGGGAAGGAATGCCACGTATTCATGAGGATTATTAAAACAAACAAACAAACAAACAAGCTTAGGGAATGTGTTTATGCAAACTTGTTTCTTTTGTATTTTTCTTAAATTTATTTTCTTTCTTTTAAACAATAAAAGAGGCCCACTGAAGGAAGTCTACCAGCCACAATTGCTTTGCTGTGAAATTCTGCAGCCTGGCCATTGCAAACCTCAACACAAAGTAAACAGTGCCTGAACTCAGCACTCACAATTTAATAATTCTGTCCAAACTTTAATCTGTAGTCAAATTAAACTAGTACAAGCAATGCATGTTTACTTACTTGCATATATATTTTCATGGCCTCATTTTAAGAACCTTTGAATATTTGATACCAGAATCATTAAAATTGGTCTTTCGAACAAAAATGTGTCTAATTTCAGGAAGAGATAACTGAATTGTAGAAAACATAGCTGGTAGCTATATGTAGATTGCTCTGTTTGCTTGTGTACTATAACAGTGACAGAGAAGGAAGAAGAAGAGATAATGCAAAGCTCTTGTGTAAATTGTACTTGAAAGAATTACATAATTTTGCTGAACATCTCTCTCTCTCTGTTTTAAAGCATGACAATTTGTTTTATAACACTGAGAATTTTAAGTTCCTCAGAAAGACACAGTGGATTTCATAGGTTTTATGCCCTACTTTAAGTCTTTGTGAATGATTAATAGAGACAGATCTTATCTGACTATCTTAAATGTAGATTCTTGGCACTGTTCAAATCAAGATTAAATAACGTTATTATTCCTTTTTCTCATCTCCTTCATCCTAGTCCTGGAGATTTGAAAGAAAGTGACTTATTGATTGATGTGAACTCAAAAAACGATCCTAAGAAGAAGAAAATCTAGGATTTTATCATCAAAGATAAAAAGCAAGTTATTATCTCTCACAGTTCAATGATTCCTCTTGCAGAAACAGTGGTGGTCTTGGCCCAATTTACAGTCAAAATGTATGCATGCCATTGTTTCAGCTTTATGCTTACTAACAACATCTAAATATTAATACATAGTATTTAGAATCCAGAACAGATTAATAGGCTGGAAGTCACCTTAAAGACCACTGAGCTCCAGCCCTCCTGCTGTGGGCAGTATTGCCACCCACTAGAGGCTGCCCGGGGCCCCATATTTATATCCTATTTGCTGCAGCCTTCAGATAAAACAAAAAGTGGTATATCTCCCCTTAGTGTTGTCACCATGCTGTTTAAAATTCCAAGACCACTTTTTCCAAGAGGTTTTATTATTTGTGCTGGAATCAGAAAGAACTACAGTCCTAATGCTACTCCAAAACATACAGAATCATAGAATGATAGAATTACTCAGATTGGAAAAGACCTTAAAAATCATCAAGTCCAACCACAACTGAAGCATACTACCCTAACTCTAACAACCCTCCGCTAAATCATGTCCCTGAGCGCCGCATCCAAATGGATTTTAAACACATCCAGGGATGGTGACCCAACCAGCTCCCTAGGGAGCCTATTCCAGTGCTTAACAACACTTTCTGTAAAGAAGTGTTTCCTGATATCCAACCTAAAGTTACCCTGGTGCAACTTGAGGCCATTCCCCCTCATTCCTCTCACCTGTCACCACTGAGAAGAGACCAACCCCACTCTCGCTGTAAGCACCTTTTAGATATTGGAAGAGAAGAATAAGGTCTCCTCTCAGCCTCCTTTTCCCAGACTAAACAGCCCCAGTTCCTTCAGTCTCCCCTCCTAGGGCAAATTCTCCAAGCCCTTCACAAGCCTTGTTGCCCTTCTTTGGACCTCCTCCAGCACCTCAGTGTCCCTTCTATACTGAGGTGCCCAAAACTGAACACAGCACTCGAGATGAAGCCTCACCAGTACCAAGTACAGGGGCAGGATTACTTCCCTAGTCCTGCTCACCACAGCATTCCTGATACAAGCCGGGATGCCGTTGGCCTTCTTGGCAACCTGGGCACACTGCTGGCTCATATTCAGCCAACTGCCCATCAGTTCACCCAGGTCCCTTTCACATATGGGAACCTGGGGTGCTTTCTCCCAATGGAGGAAGACTGGTAGTTAGTGAGGTGCTCTGAAAAGCGGAGCTGGGGCTGATGAGTCAGCTGTATGACAGTAACAACTGTATTCCACAACCACTGCTGCTTCGCTGTGTGAGATGTGTGTAATGCACATGCATTAGAGGCTTCCGATTGGTTTGCAGAAGTACCACGACCAGGAAGTTTCCCAAAATACTGAATTTTTGCCTAGCAACCCAATCCCCTGCAATCAGACCCCTAGATACACACTATAAATGATGACGAAGAGGTTCAAAGAAAGAAAGTGAGGAAGAAACGCTTGTGCTCTGTTTAGATGCGTGTTTTTTCTCTCAACGTGGTGCCAGATCCGAGCCGTACGTCAGTCACCCACACTGCTGTGGGAAGCAGCGCACACCGACACTGTGATTCTGCCACGGTGTTTAAAACGGGAGATGCAATCTGGAACCTCAAAACGTATTTGAAAACAACGACATCCGTCAAGACAGCTCAGTGAAATTCATTGGGAGCAAAGATTTCAGTTTCGTTTAGTGAAGTCCATCACGTTGTCACTGAGATTTACATAGAAATCCCTTCCAAGTGCGCTAGTATAGCCGCGTTATGCGAGAGGCTGTGACTACTGCCCATTCACCCCTGAGTTACCCCACACATACCGGCACCCACAGCGGCTGCGCAGCCCAGAAGAAGGAGGAGGAGGTGGAGGAGATGGAAGAGGAAGGGCAGCCGCGCCGCCTGCTCAGCTCCTTTTCCTTCCGGGTTAGCTGCCGCTGCTGCCGCGTCCTCCCACTGTCCGGCCATGGGGGATTCCCCGCAAACTGCGGCTCCGCTGGACCCCGCGCTGGGGAGGCCTCTTCCCCGGGGCCGCGGGAGCACTGCGGCCTCCCAGGACAAGCTCTTCCTCATTAAAGGTGCTGGAAGCGCCTCCCTTCTCCTCCCCTCCCCACTCGGGTCATAGGCGGGCGGCAGCACGTGGGGCGTGCGTGGCCGAGCCCTGGAGCGCTGTGAACGCGCGGGCTGCGGGAGCCGGGAGACGCGTCCCGGGCGGAGGGTGCACAGTCGTTGCCTCAGGGTGCTTCTCCACGTTGTAGAGCTTGCCGGCCCAAGTCCCATGGCTGGAGGCTGCGCATTAAACTCCTCTTCTTTTGGCAGACATTAATTAAAAACCAGTTGCTATTTCTGAAATCGGGAAAACGTTGCTACTGAGTAGACCTTGAAGTGTAAAATGCAGGGGGCACCCTGTGTTCTGTCGGGGTGTTGGAGGTCCTCCTGTTCCCAGGCTGCATGTCCTCCACACATCTCACTGACACGGCTACAGCAAGCTTCTCCATCACAGTAATATTATAACCAAGTTTTAGAAAGAGAGACCTGACATAAGGGGATTTTGATTCTTGCTTCCTATTCAAATGATATATATATTTAAACTTTTTTACCCAACAGGTGCAAAGGCAGAGCTTGTTGCCTCTACTGAGGGCATTTTGGTGTGAGCCAGGTGCTGTATAGTACACTCAGGGTCCATAGGAGGCCTTTTCCTACAAGTGGTCTGATATGGCTACAGATCCCCTTCTGATGCAAGAAGCAGATCCCAAATGGCTGCAGAAGAGCTGGCAGCAAGGAGTGCTTTGTATCTCAAGGAAGCTCACATGGTTTTGTTGGTTTTTAGGTTTGTTGTTTTTTTGTTTGTTTGTTTTTTTAAATAGATCATTAGAACATAAAGCTGACAATGCCAAAGAGAATGTGTTACTTACAGAATGGTGTTCTGAGGTAGGTTTTCAGATGGCTGTTTGAAGTCACCAGTGGTGCAGCAGGAGAAGCACATCATCTTGTAACACAGGGCTGATTTTAGCATCCTGATTCTGGAGTGAGGCTGCAGAGGGAGCATGAAAATTTGGAAGTGCTGTGAAAAGGCATCCTGGGTTGTGGATGACTTCTGCCTCATGCAGCTTGCAAATAGATGTTTGCTATTTGTTTTCAAAATTTGTTTTCAAAAGGCTCCATTTCAAGATATTCTTTCCTCCTTACCATAGGTAATTAGTATAAATAATTTGGACAACTGTTCCTTTTCCCTCAGCATATGTTGACAGACCTTTCTTTTCCAGGTGCTGCTTTCAAAACAGATTGCTTTTTGTTTTTTCTCCTTCTAGGAGACAAGATCTTAATTTCACAGAACCACAGATAATTGTATTCTCTATAAAAAGGCGTGCACACCTCAATAAGATGGGAGATACATACAGCAGTCCCAGAATGTGACATGTTGATATCACTTGCAGTGATTATTATCAATTTAATTTTTATGTCTTAAACTTTTCTTGGCAGGTGGAATTTTTCTAGGTACGATTGCTACAGCAGGAATGATAGCAGGTTTTGGCACCACGCTTGCCATGGCAAAAAAGAAGAACCCAAACTGGTTCAATAAGGTTTGTTCATTTAAACTGTTTTCCAGTTGTGATACACAGGAAAAAACAATGCATAAAGTGCTTTGTAGTAATAATGATATAGGTACAGTTTGGCTGTGCAAAGCTGATGGCCAGAGCACTAGACTTCAAGTCAGTAAGAGTAGGTTAAACGTTTGCTAGGAATAGTGTATGATTTCTACTTTGCTCAACTTAAATACTGCAAAGTGTATAAAGGAAATGATACTTTTTGTGAAGGTGTGATAGGCGAGTAATTTCAGAAGGGAAGGCTAAACTTTGCAAATTATGTAACTGCCTATAGGGGATCTCTGAGGTTTTGCCACCAAAGAGGTAAAGATACTTAAATTTATAGTTAGTACAGGCATTGCCTGTTATTAAAAATAACACATTGTTTCAGTAACAGAATTGTAACTATAAATAACTAAGGGTAATCGCATCCACATTAGACATTCGACCCCAAAATAATACATCTTCCATTTAGGATGAGGCTATAGCTTGACAGATACTTCAAGCAAACATAAGCCAGCACTGCTGATCAAAGAAGTAGTCCAGCTATCCCAGAATTAATGCTGGGAAGAAATGCAAGACCCCTTCGTTCGCTATCTTTGCTGGCTTGTGCCAGCTTTTGTGTCAGTGAAACTGCAGCATGAAAGTCAGAGTAGAAATATGAAACAAACAGAATGCGGTCTGTGACCAATTAAAATAGATGAATCAGAGAAAACAAGTAAATAGCAATTTAAGAGGGAAGATGTAGCATCACATCATCTTCGCTTCATTATTGTTTTCAGAACATTACAACAAGACTTGCCTTACAGAAGAGCATCAGTGTTACTGGAGAGAGATAAAGCTGAAAATGAACTTCCACGTTATTGAAATTAAGTAAGCATTTATAGAACCAGAGCCCAAATTTACTTAGAACTGAGATTACATAATCCTGTTTTGTGATGAACCACTGCAGAGACTTTCATTTAAAACATCTTTTGGGAAGGGGGAAATGTATATTAAATTTAAAGTGCTCAGATGCAGCAGCCTTCTTGTGAGAAATGTTCAGTTTTATCAGAATTTTTCCGGGTGTTTAGTTTTAGAATAGTTTAGGCCATGTGAATGCACTCAATACAATAAACTGATGAAGTTGAATGTATTTATTCTAGGCACAGTTTCCTTTCAGACACATTCTTGTCCACAAGGAGATAGTCGGAAAATTGAGGCCTTTATCATTTCTCCTATGTCCTCCAGAAATAAAATAAATTAAGTGTGAAGCATGTATTTTGGGAAACAAACCAGTAAATCCTGCCCTGTATTCTCCTGGCCTTTTTTTTTTTTTGTAAGAAGATTTGAGCATTGTTCAATAGCTTATTTTTTCAAATCAGGGAGGTTCTCCCCTTCGCCCCCCTCCCCGTATTAGAGCAGTAACAGGGAGGAAACAACGTATACAGTAACAGGCTTGTGATTGAAATTCTGTTCTCCTAAAAAATGTTCTTTTTGTAGTTACACCCTTTTCCCCCCATGCTGTCATAGTATTCTACTGTTGTCCTCTTATTTTTTTGGCATTTCTTAATCAGCTTTCTTGATGCTCTGAACAGCATATCGGATAATCTTATGACAAACTGGTGTTTACAGAAATCCCTATCTTTATACTTAACATCCCTCAGCAGTCAGCTTGGAACAGAACACTTTTTGACTGCTGTCAGTGAAACCACTTCCACATAAATCAACCGCTTCCACATAGCACTTTTTTTTTTTTTTTTTTTTTGAGACAATCTAGCATTTAAATAGTGGTCGAGTTATTTTTGCCAGCAGTTTTCACAGATAATGACTCCTATTTAAAGATTCTATGTAGAGGATATTTTCATCCATTCTTTTTCCGTCTTCCAAATGGAAATTCTACGCGTTGTATATGTGTAGACTATTGAAGCAGGAAAATGTCAGAAATCGTCAGCATCTTTAAATCTACTCAATACAATCTCTACTGAAAGAGTTAGAAAAGTTCATTAGCTGCAGGAAGGAAATAGTAGAACTCTGTTTAATAGTGTGGTTAGAGAGCTATTGTCTGTGTCTGTGTATCTATGTGTATATACACATAGTGAACACTTAACAGCTTCCACTTTGGGATGTCCAAATCAGAACCTATGAGGAATAAAATGGATTTTAGTTGTGTCCTTCATACATTGGTGTTTGTCCTTGGGTAACTGCCCAGAACTATATCCAAAGGACAAATGTTAATACTGGGCACTGTCCGAAGATCATTTTAACATTTTGATGTATACAAAGCCAAGAGGAAAAAAAAAAAAAAAAAAAAAAAGCACTACTGATGCTTTTTCACTGGCCACATACCATTCTGATAGACGCTGTACATGTGTTTAGTTACATCGAAGAAGAAAGAAAATGAAAGGGACTGAAGCTGCCCTGTAGTAGCTAAATACAGTGTAGGGGGCATTGCTGTCCAGGAATGGCTGGCTAGCAGCAAACACTTGGTGTGAACTGACTGATGTGAACCACCATGTGTTTGAGCCCTTCATAGCTGCACCTTATACTGATGTGCTGTGACAAAAAAGTTTCCATTGTGGCTGGGAGTCTGTCATGGTCGAGACTCCACTCCTCTTGGCCTGAGATGACTTTCCCAAGTGTTTTGTATTTTTGCAACACTTCTAATGGAAGACTCAAGCAGCAGAATCTCAAAAAAACACCCACTGTTATTTCTGACAAAAATGGGAAGTGTGAAAATGGAATAGAGCTATCTTTGTTGCCACTTAGTGAACTCTGCAGGGAAATGAGGCTTAGTGTTGCTATTTGTTATCTTCAGAATTTTCCTAAACAGCTTCTAGAATTCCTTCAGAGTTGCAGCATCTCAAAATTGGTCTCTCAGTCACTGTTACATCCTACATCAAGCTGAAAGATGCATAAGTTCCTCTAGTTTCCCAATCTACTTTTACAGGAGCTTAGATGAAGGCTTATAGGCTAACGGTCATGCCCCACTCACACCACTCCTGAAAAAAATCGTACCAAAATCAATTCTATAGAAGGATTGTGTTCCAGTGCAGCTGTCTTGTTTTTGAGCCAGTTGCGGCTTTTGAGTGGCAGGATAACTATCAGATTCTTGTGCCTATTGAACAGTTTATTTCAGCATCTTCAGATATTAAAACTCCCCAAATGCTACTGGCAGACTTGAAAGTTGTTCGTGGTGAGAAAGCAGCTTATATACCCACTTTCATGGCACTTTGGGCCTGCTGACATCCATAACAAGAGTTTCTATGACATCACATAAACTGGCAAGGGAAGAAAATGTCTAGAGTAAAAGTTAACTTCCTTCATTTCTGTTTTTCTTTTTTCCAGTTATTGTTCACTTTGTCTTGATCAGTCTTTTTTTTTTTCCCCCCTAGGGTATTACTGCTACAGCTGCATTACCTGAGAGTGGCTCATCACTGGCCTTACGTGCCCTAGGATGGGGCTCTCTGTATGCATGGTGTGGAGTTGGATTACTAAGTTTCGCCATCTGGAAGGCTCTGGGTGTTCACAGCGTGAGTAGCAAATATGATTCTCCAAATACTGTTTTGTTTTGTTTTGGTTTTTTTCCAGAATTCATCATATTCTGTACCACTTCAACTGGCAGTACCCTTGGTTCTCAACACGTACAGTGACTAACCAGAGGCTTGTGCAGACTGAAAAGTCATTTTTGCATCTTTTGTAAGTGTGATGTTGTGGAGGAGACAGTTTAGGGGGAAGAACAGTTCTGTCCTGCTTGTGTTTATTTACACACATTTCAAATTCTTCAAGAGTCAGTGTTCTACTTTAGATATTAAAATAGTGGCTGCAAATTCTGCATCCTTTGCTTATTGAATTGAAAGCTACCCCCAAATCCTCTTTTTAAAGATGTCTATTTGTCTAAATCCTATTTTCTACATCAGGATACTGAGGATGTAAGAAAAATTGAGGTGAAGATAGCTTTCTGCCCCTAGTGCATTTCTGTAAGGAGCAAAGGGTCAGAAGTTAGAGGATTTGAGTGTAACAGAGTGGTGTTCCATGACGTGCCACATCAAGGCAAAGAAACTTGGGAAGCATCTGCGTGCTCCAAGGCACAAAGGCTATCTTGAATAAAGTTCTCATGTTCCACTATCTCACTGTGTTGAGTATGAGCAGTGGAGTTCATGTAAGCGTTTTGGCTTGCCCCCAGTAATGAGCCGTGACTGAAGAGAGACCCTGCAGCTGGCAGAACTCCACTTCCTTTTAAAGAGTAGGAATGAATAGACTTCCCTTACTTTCTGTGAAAAATTACTTTTATCTCCAGCAGAACATTTTGTGATCTCCCAACACTAAAAGCAGCAATATATTGCTCCACCCTAATACTATTCTCATTAATACCTTAATTCAAGTTCGCACTTCCTATCCACTCTGCTAGTGAATCCTGTGAGTTAGGCATTTGTTTCCTGTGACAATCAGAAACATCAATGCAATGGAATAGTAATACAAGAGGTATGATGACAAAGGGACTTGTGCAATAGAAAGGTGTTAAAAAAGAAAAAGTGCTCACCCATCTCTGAAGATCTAGGCTCACAACAGAAACTCCACAAGGAAGGGATCTCCAACCAGAAATCCTTCCCCAGTGGCAGTCAGCCCTAAATGAGGTCTAAGAGAGGTGCAGCCAGGCTCCACCCGTTCCAGTCACATAGCTAAATTGCCTTCATCTGTGCTCCCAGAGTTGAGTGGGTCCTTTCCCCAGGTGCTCAATCAGTGGTTCAGGCCCTGACTCAACAGTTACCATACTGATCCCAGCATGCACCAATTCTTTAGTTTCTAATGTTGATTCTCAGTAAGAACCAATAAAGGAAAGCAGGATGTAAGATGCAACTACAATGCATTTTGTTTATACTCAAGTCCTGCTTGTTAGGCAGTAGAGGAGTAGCAAAGAAAGAAGAGCAGGCATGTCAATTTATACTCTCTGTGTGCTGAGCTACAGCAATCTAGTAGTCTGCTGAATTTACTCACTTACATCATCAGCCAAAAGGATTCACTTCACACCATGCTGCTGATTCTTGTTTTCACTCAGAGTACTTCTGGTCCTGCTGAAGGACACTATGATGCTAGTCAGCAACTTACTTTAACAGTTTGTCAGTAAGCTTAATTTTTATTTCCTTAGAAAATGCTGACCTGGACACACAGCTGCTTGTTTTTTTTGTGAGGCTGTTTTCACTGAGACTATATGACAGGGAAGAAGAACACATGCTTGAGGTAGCTAAGTACAGGAAATGTCACAGTTTCACAGCAGGATCTCATGTCATAAGGGCACAGCAGCAGTACATGGCATTTTAGCAAGTACCTAACCATTTATCAGAAAGTCATTCTTTGTCCTATTCTGTGTTGCCTTAGTGTTGAAAGAAGATAGGGCAAACTTAAGAGGCTCTTGCAAACACCTTTTGGTATTGGTTTCTTTATGTGGAGTGCTTTTGTTTAACACAGCATGGCATGGTTAGAACTGGAGACACTGAAGGAAGTGGTTTTCTGTCAAGAAACTGAGGCTACAAATAATTTTGAACCGCCCTCTTCCTCTGCTTTTCACTGAGATATTTATTGCTTTTGCTACGGATTTAAGTTCCAGTTGGAAGAAGGAAAATCATATGATGGCACTACTCATTACAGCATAAATGCAAATTTACATTTGTAAGTTTCTGCCATGCATTTCTTCATCCTGTTTTACTGTATGTGTTAAATATATGTTTAAAATTGTTAGAAGTACAAAAGCAGAAGTGTGTTAAAGATGAAATATTCTGACCCGAGAAAAGGGACTCTAGAAATATAATTTTAAAGAACAAGTAATTTTTGATTGTTTTTGACACTTTGCATGCTGCTTTAAAATAACACTCAGGAGGAAATACTATATGTCATGGAAGATGTTACTTTTGTGCATTACGTATCATATTCATGAGCACCTGAGGTTAAGTAAGTGTTACAAGCTGGCTGGCACATCATTAGTTCTGGATTCCTAGGTATATTCTAATTCTGAGAAAGGGTTTTCCCATTTCAGAGAAGCACAATAGTTTTGAAAATTCTTTATCTCTGCTTCTGTGACAGCAATAATATGCTAGCAATCAGTCAATTCCAATGCTAACTTTTAGGGACATACAAAATATATTTGTTAAAACTAATAATTGTTACATAGTCACAAAAATAAGTTTAATTTTGTGTGAAAATATTTACTGGAGTTATGGTAAAATAAAATTTCTTCAAACATTAACTTTTAGACAAAAGCTACTGCAGGTTTTATGTTCGTCTCAACATTTTCAAATGAACATTTTAATTTCAATTGAACAACTTGAGAAAAATCTGTTGTAGGTTCACCTGAATATAAATATTTTGATTCTTCAGCCCAGTTTAATTCTGTGAACTCCATTACTCAGTAACAATTGCAGGTTGCCCATACCACAGCTGTGAAGAATTTGAAGTTACAATTCCAAGCTAAGCACACTGTATGTACATTTGAAAACTCTGACGTTAAAGCAAATGTTAGTCTCTGAAAGTGCTGTTTTGTACATGACCTTAGAGAAACTTCAGTTCATCTTGATGCTTGGAACTTTTGTGATCTTAATAACTAAACTTTTGGCAGCTGAACAAGAAGAAGAGCTTGCTGCCCTGTTCCTTCACCTTACTGCCTTCAACAGTGACCAACTGCCTTTGGGATGTGTTAATTAGTGGTCTGCCCCTGATGCTGTCCTCTCTCAGCTGGGCACTGACTTCAGTTGTTTAAGAGCTTCTGGTAATAATGATAACATTATCAACAGCTCATATGGTGTTTCAATATTGTTAGGCATAATAAAATTTTAATTGTAAACACCACAGATGTTTCATTTAGCAAACAAAAATGTTTCATCTGTCACACATAAAAGTACATTAATTGCAGCGTGTTCTCTAATCCATTGCCATGCTCTGTCCTTGTGGATGGCTTGGCATGTTCCCAGTGAGCAGAGGACTGCTTTCACGTACAGTCTGGAGGAGAGCTCTGAGTCTAGTGAAACTAAGCTGCTGTGTTGTTTACTGTCTAATACTGTCTCAGGGAGTAAATCATGACAAGAAGCCACAGTGGAAAATCAGATGTGATGGGTCGGAGATCTCATAGGAGTGGCTGGCTAGCCAGCTGGCCTACTGAGCAGTTCCACCTCTGACTGATCAACCCATGTGAACTGCTGAAGGTCATGTACACCACAGCTTGCTTTGACTCTAAAGGAGAAGAAGGGCAAAGCTGGGCAGTGAATTTGGAGAAGTGCAGCCAACAATGTGTTCCGTGCCCTTTGAACCCTGCTCACTTTAGCCACACTCTGGTTTGAAACCGTGCACTGCTGAACTGGTGTGAAAGGACGCTAATCAGTGTGCCTGCTGTGAGACCTTTCATAGCTGCCACAGAGGAAGAGGTGGTGAGCAAAGGACGAAACTAAACCCAGTGATGGGACTGCTACAATGCGATGTGTAGTTGTTGTGTTTTCTTTTTAAGAAAAAAAGTCTATATTATCAGACACCTATCTGCTACACCTGCCAGGGCAAGGCAGACTTGGTGCGAGAGGGGCAGGGGATGTGACCCTCGTACACAGGGCCAAAAGGCTTGAGGATGTGTTTGTAGTTTGTTCTGCACTGCAGCTACATCTGCTGGTAGCAGAAGAGAAAGCCACTATATTCAATATGTTCTTAAAACATTGCTGTCACAAGGCCTCCTTCCAGCTCTTAAATGGCTTTATTGATAAGGGTGGTTAGCCTACCGATTTTTATGCTAGCATGAAAACTCAGGAATGATGGTAAGAAACTGATCTTTATGTCTTGGTAAGGGATACAAAAAATTTTATGCAGTCTCAGGATGGGTTGTTAAAATCCCCTGACTGCAGTTGTTGCTGTTGTCATCTTCTAATAGGCTACTAAGTAATAAACCCTACTAAATTTCAGTGAGCTCCTATCCCTAAAATGAGAAGTGATGGGTCAGTGAGGACTTGGTTTGATAATAGTTTAAATTCTATTTTTCATTAATGTAAAAGAGAAATCTTCATTTTCAGAACCTAGGAACTGATGGTTTTCTATTTTCATGTACATTGGGCCCCATGCAGACATTATCCGGATGTTGTTAAGATGTCATTAATATGTCATTAGCATGACTTTTTAACTAACTTCCAGTGAACTCTTAGGAAAGCAGTCCATCTCTGATGATGTTAAGGTCCAGCACTTCTGTTGGTGTAAGCAAGTGGCCAGCAGCACTGGGTCAATGAAGCAGTTTGGGCCTGGGGCTCTAATATCTACAACCATTCCAGGGGATATTTTAATTATTATTATTACTCTCTATACAAAATACTTCATGAAGTTTGAAATCTTTAGTTTAAGAATAAATTATGTTTCACTAAATAAAAACTTTTGTAAGAAAAGAAATAAAAAAAAATCTTAAAACCTTGTTATTTCAGTCAACTTGAATGAGAAGTTTTTATTAGAAAATGAAACCTTTCTGATTTTGTGTCTGTTTTACAGATGCTATGATCTGCCATACCTTTTT